CAGGCTTATCTGACGTTAATATTAAATAAAATCTGCTTACCTCACCTCCGTAAGATCATCTCGATATTATTCTACGCAAGATAAAGATGAATATAAATCTTTCTCGGATGCGATAAAATCAATGTGTGTGTGCATTTAATTTTACAATAATATTTATTCAGATAGCACAAATAATTTAGATTTTTAGAGTTTTGTACAAATAGTATGAATTGTCGCCTTCATTAAACAAGAAAAATGACATGAAAATGATTAGTTCAAAGAACTAACAGAAGGAAAGTAAAGTGTAAGCCTGATAAGTCTGATCTTCGCGGAAGTATTACCGTTATAACATACTTATTTTTCCAACGCATCGAGTACCGACGAGACCTCCCACAGCTCGCATTACGTTTCCGTTCTCATTACGATCGTAACCATGATATCTCTATTACTATACAGTTCGGCATGATGTGCATCGGGAAATATTCATTTTGTTAAAGATAAAACGAATGGAAAAACTGCATTGTGCGTCATCGCCGATAATTGCCGGCTTGTAACCATTCAAAACGGGACCGAGAGAAACAGCGTGAACGACCGCAGCTATACGATCAGTGAGGATTAAAACGTAACTATTGTTGCGATTAACCGCACAATAGCGTCATATCCGTTCGCATAACGCGGGAGGTTTTATCTGCCGGTTTGGGGCGTGTTAAAATAGCTACGCAAACCCGGTTTTACGGCAAAGTAATTGACAATTAATGCGCGGGCTCTGCTTCCACACCGAGTGGAAAGCGAAAGGCCGAGCGAACCAGAGCGTGACCCCTTCGTGAGATCGGGTGCGTTATTCGCGGAAAAAAAAGCGGCCTCTGAAATGGTATCGTACCGGTCTGCACTGCACGCCTTTCCCGACCGGCCGTTTACCTTTATCTTACTTTTATCTCGCTGGTGCGAGCCATTTGCACGGGCATTTGTCATTAACTCCGTGGTGTTCGCGGCTTGGATTTTTTAAATCGCATTCGCGTTGCGCGAATGTTTTATGTATGGGAGATTTGCGTGCTCGATATAAAACCGGAAATATTACAGAAATATTTTTCTAATAAAAAATTTAAATAATGTAAGATAAGTAATGTATTTGAAAAAATATTCTTTAACAAGAAATACCATCGGAAGAGAAATTCTCTAATTTATAATTTACTTCCGTAAAAATATAAGAATGCTCTCGCTGAAATTATACGGATTCACATTTTGATTTTTTATTTAAATCAAATTTACTTTAGTCAATTCATGTACCAAGTAAAATGATACAAAGTTTGATAGAAAACCAAGCGGAATACAGCTTGGGTGATGGTCGAATTAGAACTAGAGTCGAGTTTCTTTAATACTTTTCCTCCGTACCGGTAATTCCGAGAAAAAATGGAAGAAGGAACGAAATCTTATAAATGTTGTAACTCTGCCAGTTATCACGTACGGCTTCAGAAGTACGTGTGTTCCAAGTTAATACACTTTACGGTCTCGCTTTCCGGAGGACAGTATTAAACGCGATTTTGCTTTACTTTGTGAAACGGCAGCATGGTAACCTATCGGATAAATATCGCAGGTTTCTCTGTCCCCTTGTTAAAGCTGCAAGCGCATAAAGCAAATTTCAATCCATTAATGCTAAAAGGCTACTCTAATGCATCTATCTTTCTGCCGATATAATGCACTTGCACCGTTTGAGCTGCAGAGCATGGCATTCGCAGTCAGTGCATTCCGAGCGCATTAATTGGCGCACGGCGAGACAAGGAGTTTGCCGGGTGTGTGGTCGCTACATCGTTATAACACCGTAGTAACACCGTGAGAAGAAATTAACGGCGATAAAAAATCGTCGAAGGCTTGTTCGCATCGATGTCAAGATTGTAGCGGTTCTCGTAGACAGAACGGAACTCGAACTCCCGCTCCTTTAAATTGCGAAAGATCGAAAGATAGAAAGTGCATTCCTGACGTTTGGAAATCGATTTTAACTCTACGTCAAGGTCGCTGGATGTAGGTAAGAAAAATCAGCATGTAGGTGTAAAGAACAGGCTGTCGATATCGACACCTATATTTTGAGAATGAGGAAACGAAGAACGTTAAAGGAGAATTTCGTCATCGTAAATTTAGTTTGATCAGACGTGCATGTCGAACAGAATATTAAATTAAATCGTAACGACTGTGTGATAACATCTGTCTCGTAAAAATAGAATGTTCTTATTTCACTGCTTAGATATACTTGTAAGATATAGTTATAGTAGTTTTAACTTAAATCTGAATTATATATATAAAGAAAGAGCTAAATTTTATATATAAATTTATAAAAGTCTAACTGTATTAATTAAAATTTACTAGTTCAGTATATTATACAGCTAGTCAGCTAGTCAGCTAGTGCATTATACAGCTGTATTTATACAGCAGTTGAGAAAAATATACACGGTCATAAAAATCAAAGGCAATAGCTTCGCAAGTTCTCTCGCACTGCAATCAACTCGTAACCAGATTATGCAAAATGAAAAATTCTTGAATAATTTCGACTCGAATAAATCACATATAACGAAGAAAAATGGATATTCTCGCGTAAACTTCAACTGCATTTCACGTTAATGCACGGTTCGTCAAATCGTAGCAACAACATTACTGTCTTTCATCGTATATCTCGCGTGAAATTCTCCAAAAACTGAGTGCCTAGTCTGAGACGGTCCCTTTCGGTTGGAAAATTCCTTCTGAATCTAATTCTTTATTTAATAACGCGAAATAGTCCAGAGAATATTTCCTTCGCATCCGTCATAATAAATTGAATTTACGGGGCAATCGGCAACGAAAAATGAGGACCTATTCAAACTGCACGCCGGTTTATAACGCTTCAACTTCATTCATCATGCCAGCCATGGAATGCATCAACTCCTTCGGGAGGCTTAGACAGCGACATTTATAATTAATTCATCCGCAAACCGGCTTGAAATTTAAATGCAACCGGGCTCTATCGATTTCTCGTATCGTAGCTGTTTCTGACCGCGAAGGTGGCAGCACCAAACAACACCAGCGCAATAATCGACAAATTGTTTTTATTTCCCACCTGTGACACCGTTTCTCAGATAAAAGAGAAAGAAATAAAGCGTGCCTCTAGCTATTTTTAAATAACCAAGTCGTAAAAAATACAAAGAACTGAAGAACTTTATCTTGAAAAGTCATCCTACATAGACAGAGCTAAATATTATTTTTAGAATTTTTTAAATAAAACACATGCTAAACACAATCGATAGATTATAGAAACATATAGAGGAGTAAAAACCATAGTAATGTAAATCAAATTTTTAAAAATATTGACTCGTGTGCATAGATGCAATTTATATATTGTATAGAGTCAATATCTTATTTGACTTACACCCTACTATAACTCTTTTCCCTCCATCATATATACATTGCAATCCCGTGAATACGTCTCGTCACGTATGATAATTATGAAATAAATATTAATTGCAAATAGCATTGCGTCCAGAAAATCATTCAAAATATACGAACATTTAATAGAAATTCGTAATTACAAATTATATATGGACGCGCGTAATTAACTGTATATGCTCGAAAAACGAATATCCAGGCGATTATTGTGCGAGGTAGAAGAAATATCGTTCTCGTGCAATTTTCGCACGGCCGGGGCTCGATCATATCGCGAGTTTATAATTACATCGAAATCGATGGGCGTCGATGGCTTTGCGCCAGCCAATTGAATTGCCGCGGCGATGCTGCGCGAACTAATTTCTAGGGGCCTCGTTATTAATGTGCGGCTATCGATTAAATGAAAATTTGATCGCCGTTCGAGTAAGAGCGACACGCGTTTGCGCGACACGCCTTACTAAATATCGCGCATTTTTACCCGTTCTAAGGTTTTCCTCGACATGTGGCAGTAAGAAGGTCTATGCAAAGTCAGCGCAATTCGTCCGCACCCCCGACGCTTAATAAATGAAGAGAAAGTGGCGTGTTTTTTGCATTACAAATTTTCTGCCCAGCTTTTACTATTTTACATAACACAATTGTTCCTTCTTCTTATTATGCACAAAACACTAGTTGCGATGGTGCTCGTTGTAACGCCATGCGTCACATTACCACTTCATATAATTTTCTTCATCATTTCCTTTGTTTATTTCCCCATTATACCCTCCGTTATACGCAGATGCTGAAAGGTTTAATAAACAATATCATAACTGTATCTAAATTTACGTTGCAATTTCATAACCCGCGGCAGCCTCGGCCGTTACGTCAAACATTTGCGGTAATAATGGGGCAGTTAGCGATTTACTGCGTTACCCTCATGAATATTAACGTTTACTAACGACTCTGTAATATCCCGATATCCACGCGCAAAATTCTATCGCGTCTTTTTCGTGCACGCGTCAAACTATCAACGCGGTAACATCCTGGAAAGTCAAAATTAAATACCTGAGTAATTCGAAATTACAAGAATCGGGCCCGCGCGCGTTTCACGTACTTTACACAAAAGTGCACGCCGCACAAAAGATATCTGCGTATCACGGCAAATGCTCGTAAAAAGAGAAATTCTCCCTCCTTCATGCTGGATTTCGCTATTACCGCGATTTAAAAATGAGAAAACAGCACGGAAACGATCCGCGAGATTATGATAGATTCACGACGCTTTCTATATCCTTCCTTTCTCTGCGCGATACGTTACACTTTTCTCGAGCTCATGTTTTAATAGTTAATTTGTCTTGATTCGAGATGAAATATGGGCCGCTCTACTTATATCTCGGATGTTGATAAATGCTATTTTTCGTCAAGCCGATTCTATCCCGCAGAAAGTAACATTTTGATGTCGTAAATGGAGATCTTTATTTCAAAGAGAGATCTTTATTTCAAATGCAGAAGTTTTTACTTTCTACTAACGTAATGTGTTATATCTCGCATTTATTAATATTTTATTTATTATTAAGAATATTTTAAGTAAGACACGTGTCGGATATAATATTATTAATAATTTGACTTTTTTATTGCAGAATTCTGGTGAATGACCTCATGGTCTGCCACGATGTCGTCAATATTACTATTGAATTGTAAGTATAGGTACTTTTCGATCTAAATCCACAAAATCTTTTATTCGACATGCGCGTACAAATTTTAATTTATATTATTCATATACCATATAGGTGTTCTGACGGCGTGGCTGTTTGTCACCATAGGAGCGATTACCGTATCGGTAGATCGTGCTGACATTAAAACCGTAAGTATGACTAATATGAAAAGTTTCGCATAATTTCTGTTATAAGTTGTTATCGTTATTCATTGTTAATTATAAATAATACTACTACATTTTATCACCATAATATGAGTTACTCTTACACTTTCTTTCGCATCAACGTTTAATAGCCAAGATATTAAAATGTCGAACAGAAAGTTATGACAACAGCATTCTTTGAAATCCTTTGTAACGAAAAATTGTCTTGAAATATTTTAACTCATTCTGATATTAAATTTTCTTCATTCTTCTCTTGTCGCACCACCGCTATCCGTTTTGTCAAATCTCGTTTTTTATATATCAATCAGTATTATACATATATTTTACATACATATATATTACATTACATATCTATTTTTTTATTCTCTCATTATGTCTCATTATTTTATAATGAGATGAATCTATCCACCTTGTGTTTCAATCATCTTGTTTTTACTACGGGTAGGCATCATAATAGTAGTTTTACTGGCGCCTTACCTTTTGCGAATACATTTTTTTTTATGTTCTTTGTAATTATCTGAAAGATTATACCAATCTTTTGTTACGCAATAAAGTTATTGTTATTAAATAAAGTTAGTATCTTATTAGTGCAATTTTATAGCATAGCCATAGCTAGTCAAGTATTTTATTGCCTATCGAATCATGAATTCTCTCCATTTTCATTTCATTGACGTTTTATGCGACAATCGGAAGTATGTGAGAATTCTGATTTACTGCTGTAGAAACGGAATAAGTTGGGAAATCGCTGATAGTTCGCTCTACCAAGGACGATTACCCTTGCTTTACGAGCGTCGCAGGGTGCACGCACGTTCGTCGATGGAATATTCCGAAACTTTAGATTTGATTTCGTACCGTTATTAGAAATGTTAGCGGGGTGTGAGTAAAATTCGTGGTTTATCGTCTCTGAACACACGGACGTGGAAAGTAATTCGGAAATAGCGTGCTGCCTAAGGCCTCGCACACTTATTTTCTGATTACACAGACCACCGCTTGCCGCCAATGGCGGAGAATAACAGTCTCACTTACGATTTTCTCGGACCTCGGTGAAACTGGAACAGGAACCATTCCATTAACCTCTCCAGGAAGTTCGAGTATCACATTACTATTGTTGTCGCCGCTATGGCGTGAACGAAAATTGTGTTTGATGCACCTTGTAGGGAATATACACGAAAGCTTTATAAGACTATATAAAAAATTCTTCCATCGCGATATACCAGTCTAATGGATCATTATCTAACAATTTTTGTTGCTGAATAAATAAAATTAAAAAAATAAAAAGAATTAATTATATTAAAAAAGTATTTTTAAAATAACATCTATAATTATCCCAAAGTTAGGGCAGTAAGATTAATATGCGCAAATTCTATTGTATTTAATTTTACAATAATTAGACGCTTGATATATTCAATATACATATTCCTGAATCTCTGTTTCGAAAACTAAAGCTCAAGCTTTGATCCGCAGCCACCAACACGATCGTCGATGATCGCAAATGGCTGGCGACCTCTGACTAATTCCTACGAGGAAACGATCGGCACTAACGTGTCGCCGTCGAGCCACCTGGAGAAGAACGTCCAGGTGCATCCCGTCCTGAGCAAGTTTCAGGAGCACATGGCGACTTCGGAAAAGCTGAAGCCGTTACGAAAGGGCAAGCCGCCGGTTCACGAATACAGTCCGCCGAGTATACTCGGTAGTTTCACGGTGTTCGGACACGCGGCGACAAAAGCGCGTGGCGAGATCAAGACGCCAGTTAAACACGTGGCCACGGAGACTCGGGAATATACGTTCCTGATACCACCGCCCAAGGACGCGTACCGTTTCGAGGTGAGCCAACACCGCAAGCCGGTCGTGCGCGACAGCGGTAGCTACTTGCCGAGACAGCCGCCGCAGACAGCCTACGTGGCGCAGAATGTCCATCAGCAACCACTGGATAGCGTACGCGCGGCGACCTATTTCATCAAGGGTATCCCAAGCAACCGCCCTTACGTCCCGCCGTTCGCCATGCAGGCGTTACAGGCATCGCAAGCGTTGCAACCACCTCGCCAACCGGAGAAACCGTTCGAATCCTTGAAAGTCGCTAACAGCGCGAAACCGTACTTCCAGCCGCCCGGTGCGGAGATCCCGGGTGACTTCGGCAAGCAGAAGATCAACGGGAACGATGGCGATGTCTACGATAGATACCAAGCGCAATCTCACAATTCGCAGGTGCTAAATTCGGCGAGCAGCGGTAACTTCTACAGCCAAGTGAACCATCCCTCGAATCATTATAAGTCCACCTACGAGCGAGATCCTGCCTTCCTGGTGCACGAAAGTCACGAGATCAGTTACGTGACGCCACCCGGATCGTACAACCCGTACAGTTTCCGCCCTTCGTTGCCGTACGAGACTCTGTTACCACCCGCGGTCTACTCGCCCTCGTCAACGCCACCGTCCACCACCGCCGTCACGCGGAATCCCAGTAAATTCGGCCAGACTAACGACGCGGCTCGGGAGCACTATAATAAACGCCCGGATACGCGTAACAAGCACGAAAAGGGCGGACAGACCGAATTACCTAATCCCAGAACTACGAGCACTTATTACGTTTCGGAACACCAGGAACTTACACCCCCCACGTGGCCGAAGAGCAAATACACGTCCGACATCAACGAAGTTCTGCCGAAGGAGAATCCACCAAGCAAGTTCAGTCAAGAGGTCGTAAACCAGAATCAAATCACACAGGGTCCGAAGAACGTGTACCACAGACCGCAGAACTCCTTCGAGCCTGTTGAGGTTTACCCACCGACGCCGATACCGGATTACGAGACACCGGAGAGCATCTCTCTCAAGCACTTTAACGAGCAACAGTTTCTGCTACAGCAACAATTGCTGCTGCGCGATCGACAGAGACTGGCGGAGCAGGAGCGTCAACAGAAACTAGAGATCGAACGGCAGCAGCAAGAAGAGCTGAAGAAACAGCAGGAACAGCTCAATCAACTTGCGCAACGGGAAAATGAGGAAGAAGAGGCAGCTAGACTTGCCGCGGAATCCGCGAAGAATCAGTCACAAGAGATCGTGAGGCTCCCGGCCAATATGCCATACACAATTCAATTGGCGCAATTCGAACCGCAGGTCACTACAGATGGCAATATTCTGGTGTCGGAACCTGGTATTTACAATGTTGAACAGTTGAGACTTCAGCCTCAGGTAATATCTCATTTTATAATTGATCGCTCTGCCGCTTAAAATATATATAATGAATAGCTAAATACCACGAAAATTAAACAAAAAAAAAAACTAGTAGATAAAATATTAAATCATAAAATTCTTTCAACAAAAATTTAAAAATATTATTTGAAGTAAATTAATACAATCTAATTATATGTTTAATAACTCATTATCTATTATAAATAGCTATTTCTTTCCTATACATATAAAAAACGATTCTAAACTGTCTGTCGTAGGTATCCCAGATCCCAGAGAATCAGGTGAACCAGAATTATCAATACCAGCAGCATTACCAGAACAGCTATCAGGAGCAACAGGTCAATTACCGTGAGCCTCAAACCGAGACGCGGCCGTACCGTCCGCAGAAACCGTCCCGCGATCCACAACGTCGTAAAAAGCCGACGACCGTTGCGCACGAACTCTCGCCGACGGAACCGCCGAGCCAGCCGCCGGAAACTGCCATTCCCTTGACCCTGTACGCAGAGGAAGTACCGATTCAGACGACGGTGGCACCGGAAGTGCAAACCGCGCCAACAGTGTCGACACAGAGATCCAGAACTCGTCGTCCGGCGGCGCCGGGTCGACGACGAAAGCCCGCGACAACCACGCAGGAACCCGTCACGACGTCTTACCCGGAGGAAGACTACCTCAAGTACAATAGAGAAGACGTGCAGCACAATCAGCACGACTCTTCGCGAAGAAGACGAATAAAGCCCACCCAGGCAAGTTACAACGAGGAAGCGGTAACGGAGAAGAGAGGTAACGTCAGGAAACGACCAAGTCATCGAACGAAAGTGAGCCACGACGAGTCGTACGACACGCAGATCGTCACGGAGAATGCGTACGCCTCCTTAAATTCTTATGGACAGACCACGGAGCCTGCGCCGAACTACAATGAGAATAACTACAATCAGGATAACCATAATCAGAATAACTACAATGAGAATAACTACAATCAGAATAACTACAATGAGAATAACTATAATGAGAATAACCAATTCGCGACGAATCAGCCGAGCGTTTCATACGGAACAAGCCAGCCACTTAATCAATATTATGATTACTCTTCGCAGCAGAATGAGAGATACCAGGAGGATCAACGCAAGGACCATCGCGAGGACAGCATCGTGCCAGAACAAGTGTCAGAATATCACACGGAGATCAACCGCGGCAAAATCGAGGATTATAACACCGATACTCGTCAGCAAAACGTGAACGTCGTCACTAGCATACCACTGGAAGATCTCTACGTGAAGACCGACGGTAATTATTACGATCGCGCGACAACTGACGGCCCGACAACCACGACAACGACGACAACGACGACGACGACGACGACAACTACCCCGCAACCCGTAACGCAGGCTCCTCAGGTCGCCACCTCTACGTCGAAATCTCACAGGATTCGCCCATTAAGATACGGTAATGCTACCAGACCGCGTTTCAGCATCAAGGATTACAAGAGCCGCATGGATTACAAAAACAGACTATCTCAGAGTTCAACAACGGAGGTAGCACCGACGCCGGCCAGCGAAGCCTTGACGCGCGGTCCTCATACCAGACAGAGAACGTCGAGCGCGAAAAGTCAACAGGCTCAATTAACATCAGGCGATACCGTTCGAGAGACTACCGGCAGATACAAATACGTCTCCAGAGTAAACTATCGAACTACTACGTCGTCCCCTGCGACCGCGAGAGATCAAGAACGATACTCGGAGGAGGGCGTATCCTCTACGACCGAAAAGAATAAATTCGTGCCGAAGAGGCGACCGATCAGCGGCAACGTTTACCGAAGTAGAATTGCCTCTACTACGACCAGTCCCACACGATCTCAGCTCAGCGAGAACGTTCCGAATGTTCCGAGGCAGAGCTCGGTGCGACCCGAGAACGTGTACTCGTCATCGATACGTAGGCGGCCGGTCATGAAGAGCAGGCTGCACAAGGAGAACAACGCGGCAACGGCGTATCCGGACAGCAAGCGGCAGGAGGAGCCTACGGAGATGGCCGCCGAGGAAACCAGTTTCTACTCAACCGCCTCGTCAAACAGTCGTCTCGTGGGCAACGAGATCGTTAGCGAGAAGGGAGAAGCCGCGTCGCTCGACAGCCATCCGGTGAAACTCGGCGTGCAGGAGAGCAAAAACCAAGGGGAGACTGTTTCGCAGAACGAGGAGACAAGAGCGGCGCCGACCGACGCGACCTTCGCTGAAGACGATCGCGGACGGATTTCAAGCGATGAGACCGAGCAAACGAGTCGAACCGAGAAGCCGGAAGCTTCCGCGACCGCCGGAAGCGAGGACGACGCGACACGGGAGGGAGAGCCAGAAGCCACGGAGACCACGACGAAGTTCGACGTGCGATCCGACGAAGAGGAATTGTTCGCCAAGGCGTCGCAGAGCGTGGCGGACCTGACGAGCTCCGCCTCCGCTCTGTACGACAAGCCGGGCATGTTCAAGGCGGTCTCGCCGGAGAGCAGGCTCGTCTCGCCGCAGTTCAAGATCACCACGGACGAGCCGACGTTACCTATCGAGGCCTTCTTTCAAGAGCTCTCGAAAAAGAACTAACGACTCAGGGTAAATCATTCTGCCGCGAGCAAACTGTCATCAAATCGTAACACACGCGATCGACAATTCAGTGCTTCGAGGAGCAATGGGAGATCGTAGGAAGCTTCCCATATAAGCTTCTTTCGAGAAGCAAAACATTCAGGATTTGTTTTCGGTAATAAATGGTTTCGTAGGAAAACTTACATTTCAAAAGAAAATAACATTCTGTTGGAAAAAGATCTACAGATTTCTCGAGGCATTCTATTACGCTAAACGTAGAAAGTTTCGAGAGACTAAAGGAACTTACATACTTTAAATGTACCGTAGTCTTACGTACTTAATTTCGCTCCTAAATTATTATCATCGCGCTGTCATTTACGTCGTAAAAAGTTAAAACACTGGAAGCGCATTGAGCGCTTCCAACATACGATCATCATTTCGAACATACTTTCCTATAGAACTATAGATATTAGAGAAACAAAGGGATAACGATTAAGCATAATTTGTCATAGCAAGAAGGGTCTGAGAAAAAGCGCTGCTGCTTGATGAAACTCACGGTGGAGCAACCGCGCTTTTTCTCGTGCTGGGAAAGGACGCTCGGCAGGACATTGCGTGTGCAATATCTGTAAAAAAGTAAATTATACTCCTGTGGTAATATCATTCGTATACGTTCATTTTATATCTTTACGTTAGGTTATTTGTAAAAGAGGAAATACCAAAAGTAAAAATTTCGCGAATTAGGCAATATAGCGATATCATTGGGAACGCCTTATTAGTGTAAGCATGCGAATCATCCCATTGTGCATTTATTTAAGAGATCATTCCCTAAATCATTTCTCGTCGTTACTTTTCGCGACATCGGAATAAAGAAGCTAACGAGATTATTGTAAATATGAATACGTAGGATAGAACTTTCAGTACTATCCCCTGGGCAGAAAATCGTTTTCGAATTTTATAAGAAGAAAAAGCAAAGATATTTTAAAGTTATTAGGGGATTTAGCAAAAATTATTGTTATAAGTGTAGTACGATTCTTCAAATTTTGTAAAAGCCTCGTATTTTTTAGGGATTAGAAATAAGTTTGAAAAAACTGTCATACTGAACTGAATTATTACGATTGAATTATTACAAACAGAAATTTTTTATCAAGATTTATACTGCCTAATCCTGTATTTATAAGTACTTTGTATACCGATATATGTATATTAACTTAATATTTTTATATTTGATTAAAATTTAAGAAATACGCACTATAATTATCATATTTTTCTAAGTAATATAACTTTACCAATCAATTAATAAAAATCAATTAATACGAATAAAATTCATATGCAGAGAAAATCAAATCTTAAACAAAAAATATATATATTTGGAAGCATATATATTATATAACACGAGCACGTTTAATGATACGATCGATATGTTCTTACATTATTTATATGTATCCATATATATAATCGTTTTATATTGTAAATAAATATATCGGATTATTTAGATAAAATACAGCGGAACGTAATAAAGCACAAAGGCACCCTAAAACTTACCTCAACCGACGCTTGGAAATTAAGGAACACTTCAAGCTACAAAGGACCAAGCGCACATTAATAAGACAACATCGTTTGAAACATCGTAATCACCATTTGATTTAATAATTCGTTTAATATCGTTCAACTCTATATTTGAGTTACGGCGAATGGTTACATATACGTATAATCGTCAACAAGTAAAATACTATTTCGGGATATCTCCTTTACAACGCAAGAGTAAAATCTCCTAAAGCACAGCGATCTCTCCGTGAAACTTTTAAAGAGACAAGTTGGAAGATGGATTTGTAAAGATACGAATACTCTCTTGCGCGATGGTAAGTATCTGGATTTGTATCGTATCAGAAGCAGAGTCTACCAATTTTGTCCAACTCTTCCCTTCCTCCCAAAAAATAAACTTATTCTAAAGAAAGCAATTAAAAACTAACAAGAAATATTAATGTACAGTACAATTTGTACTCACAATACCTTGTGATATATACGCGTTCAAAGACGCGGAAAGGATCCAAGTACAGAATAGGCCCTGCGAAACTAGCGTTCTAGGTACGATCTTGTATACTCGAGTGTACTCTAGGATTAATTAGCGGACGAGACAGTATTTTACCCGTCTCGATACTCTTAGAAGTTACTGCTCTTTCCCTAGAATCAAGTTACATCTCTCCCTTCGTTTTAATTAATACATACGTACGGGCCTTACTTCAAATGTACCTAATTTAGAATTATGCACAGGCCGTCATCTCACATTTATATACCGACTATACGCATACTTACGTACTCACACGTACATGTATATATGTATGTATATGCCTACGGTATGTAATTTATGCTGGCCGAAGTTTTGTGTATATCGTAAAACTCCATATAATTGACAGTTAAAGTGTTTTACAGTAACTCGAGGTACATACAGTTCACGTATATACAACAGTATCAAACTATAAGACGAAGTAGGCACATGCACACTAAAATATATGTATGTATACATATATGTAATATATTTACACCTGCTACAGCTGCGCCGAGTGAGCAAAAGACATGGACGTCGCGGCTAATTATCGCACGCACATCGGCAATCGCATATCAAAGCTGAAGATTCACACACTTAACGATAAAAGGAGACGATATCAACCGACAAAACAGCGAAAATTTAATATATTAGAATATTAGAATATTAGATAAATTGGTTGTTAAATAATTTATCCATATTCCGAAAAATATTAACTTGAGCTGCACTGCAAATCTACAAATATCGGTAACATATCTCGACTCACAAAAAGTTAGTATCGACAAAAATGGAATGACCACTATTTTCGAACGACAGTGACTCAAAAAATTAATCAATAGCGATATTATCCGAAACGATGTTATCATTACCCACTAACGTTGATAGAAAATCATTCGTCATAATTTACATGATTTATATGCGATGACTGGCTTCCAAATCCATAGCGCGAATCGCCGCGTCATATATAACACACTTACGTGAATATTTTAACAAAAATACGTGCATATAATTGTAAGTAAAAAAAAACGAATGTAAAAGCGCATCACTCATTTGAGAAAAGTTAGGATATTAGTCGCTTTAAAAGTTCGTCGTATCGTCTCCGTGTCTTTGTGCTCTGGGAAGAGCCATTAATATTCTAAGAGACGGAGACAAAAGTGAACCAAGCCAACGCGTGAAACGCGGAACTTAAAGGCACCTTTACATGTGCTTGAAAGATTAATTATTACAACCAGGATAATGGGATTTTTATATGGAGAATGCGACTGTAAGGTGGTTATAGATATATATATTTTTTCAAAGGGACGAATGCGGTTCTTACATTTAATTATCTTTTTATCAGAGGACTACCATCTATATATCAGGCTGATTTTTCTAAACGATGCCTTCATATGAAATTTCAATATCTCATTCTGTTCTCGTAGAATGTATTTAAAAAAATAAAATGAATTAAATATAGTTGATTGGAGAATGTAAATTTTATTTTCCCAACATTTTATTTCAATAACTCGCGGCAGTGTTCTGTACACAATTTTCGCGGAATATTATTGTCCGAATTGTACGGTATACAATCCGGCGTATCCATTATGTTTTTGCGTATGTACGCCTTCGAAACAAACGTGTATCGGTTTTTAAATTAAACCGCTTAGAGTTTTCATATCGTCAATAATACTGTTAATAGAAATATTTAATTTATTTAATTATATTTTTTCATACGGTTGTATCTTTAAAAAAAAGATGACAGCGAATAGCTTAATTAAACTGGTGACACCGTTATATATGAGGGGCAAGCATATACAGACCAGATGATACACATTTTACATTTCGGCATTACAGGAAGAATTTAAAAATAAAATTCGTCCAGAGAGTACGACTAGTCCTTTTATAATAATACGTTCAGTCTAGTGTCCTGAATACAACTTTCATCTAGTCGAGATGTCTACGTGATGCGTTCATACAACACTGTGTACACACCATGCATCGTTTCGTACTTTAGTAAAAATATAAAAAAGGTAACGTCTCGTGAGAATAAAAAGATAGTTTAAAACGTATTAGAAAAAAAAATTGCAGTGCCTCATGTATATAAATACAGATATAATATATATATACGTATATTTATATATGTATATGATTTATGGAAATATTTCGTACGTTTAATTTTTTTAGACAGTGGTACGTGTTATGTAGCTCAAGCTGATATCGATATTTTACTATCTACGCCTATTAACGATTAACCAATCGGCCTGTCCGATCACAATACGTTTCGCGTTCGAGTGCATTAATCTTTGTTACATCGCGGGGAGATTTGCAAGTCATGACACTCATAACTTGTATACAGCACCGGTAATGCATTTCTCCGATTGAAGCGGAAAACGCAACGTCGTCTCGCAAACTTAGGCACGATCATGATGGAATGATATATTTTATTATACATTATATAAAATTGTGTATGATTCAATACGATAAAATATTTAATATTATGTAATTACATACAATTGAAGATAATACAGTGCTGAATTAGTTGATCAATAATAAAATAAACTAAGAGAGCAATGTACAATTTTACATTAACATCCAAAATTTATAAAATTTATATTTCTAACATTTATAGATCTCATTTTGGAAATTCAGAACATAACATGCATGTCATAATATATATGATATCCTTCTTTATTTGAAATCTAGAATTCTTAAACATACATCTCATTAAACGTATTAAAATTATTAAATTTTTAATTTCTAATAACTTTCTTGCTCTCTTTTATCTACCACTTTGTTAACGTCCAATACATTTTTTTCTTTAACGTTTTCATCTGCCAAACTGTACTTACTTAATCTAATAGCGCGCATTAAAGTGAATCTCTTACCTCGACAATCGTCACTTTTTCACACGTCATCGCTTCGATCGTGTAAATGGCTCTTCGCGAAGGGGATTAACAAGGGACGATCGATCGGCCGATTGGTTAACGCGATGCACTTATAACACTTTCAAGCGGGTCTCCCTATGCTACGACCCTTTTTAGAATTTCCATATGTGGCTTTGAGACGTTGGTCCACTTAGTTTAATACGTTATTATCACCTTTTATTAATGTACGATGCCGCGTGCGTCGCGTTTGCGAGCGCACGCGAACAGGTTGAAGTCTAGAGTAACATTGATCTCTCGCTACGATCGCAAATGGATGATAGCCGGGAATCGAAAACCGATATTAATTCCGGGTGGCGGTTTGTAAATCCTTTCCTAGTTGCATCGCAAAACTTTTAATCGTATCACCACGAAATGCATAAATCACAAAGGGAGGATATAATCCGATACATTAATCGCATTAGCAGGGGTATTTTACGATTCGAGAGAGTTGCTCAATAACGGTCACGCTCTCGTTATTTAAAATAATATAAATTACAAATATATGCACTTGGATATTTGATCTTAATATCCACATCGGACAGTATATCCGATTCATTAATTATCCAGGGGAATTATTTTGAATTTTCCATTGGCAAAAGAAATTATTTGTCGATGCCTCTGAATTCTATATTTGTTAACGTTTATCTGGTTCAATATCCGAAATTAAAACGCGCATTGCCATTGCAATTTACATCAAATTACTTCTATTATACGGTTATTTCAAATGAGAGCGAGTGAGGTAAGAATACGCCGATGTGTCACAAAGAAGCATCGATTTTCCGATTCCCACAGATGGATGACACCAAAAACACGAGTCGTTTTCTCGGCGGGTGTCGCCGTCGATATAGCGTTCGTTGTTCCCGCTTGAAATGAATTCGTCGCACCTTAATTCGTCGGAAGTTCATTAATTACGCCTATCCGATTTCCAGAAGAACGATCTACGATATATAATCGTCCTCCTTACGTCGCCGGGACCCCGTCCTCCCAGTGACGCCTTTGTGCCGGGACGGTGCACAGGACGTCATTAACGAACAGCAATTACTTTCCGAGAGATAATGACACCACGACGCCGACGCTCGCGACGTCGAGCGACGCTCGTCGTCCGTAAAAACGTAACGTGCGTCACACCGCGCTGCGCCGCGCCGATGCGAGTATCGACCGTTAAAATGGATGCCAAAGTGCAAACACGTCGCAAATATTAATCGTATATCGATTATTTACGTGTTCCGCGCGTTGAATTAACCCATCGCTCGTATTGATACAACATATCGTGATTGAAAGACACAAAATGGAAACGACATTTAACCTTTACGCAGTATTTCCGCGCCGATGTAAAAAATATCGAATAAAGCCCGTGTTAGAGAGATTGAAAAATAAATGAAATTTACAGGATACGATATTGCAAATTTTAATAACTTTTGAAAAAACAGACTACGCGTTCCATCTATAAAATATGAGAAATGCGGTTTATTCTCCGCATTAACCAAAATATCATACATCATAAATAATGTTATTTCAGAAAAATTTTATTTTTTCTTCGTCGAATTCTAAATTTCAGTAAATAATTTAAAGCTTTAAAAAATTCATTTCAAATTATAGAAAGTCACATATTAGATCTCAATATTATCCAGACAAGATTGAAAATAAGATTGTTATATAAGTTAAATATTTTCGGTTATTAGAAATCATGCTAAACTGATTGCAATGCACCAGTTGCGGAAATTAAAATAGTAATAATATCATCACTTGCGTGTGCATTAAATGAACGAGATAATGAGCGGTCTGTGCCATTGAGCGCAAATAATTAAAATGTAAACAATAAAGAACGGCAAAGCAAAATCGCACCTACATAACTGTCAAGCTTGCATTATGTGTAATCGCGTATCGAACCCGATATGTCAAAAGTTAGATGTATCATAGAGTAAACAGACAGAGCGAGAGACGATATTTATGTTCGCGTAAATAAAAAGCATTATTTTAACATGACGCGCGAGGCAAGATACGTACTATTCTCTTTTATCTCGAACGCGCAATTCTCTTAAAATTCAATTTTGTTTAAAAAGAAAGACAAAACCGCGATTTATCGCGCGGTATAAGATGCGATTGAGAAACGCAGCTTTTGGCACTCCCAACGGGGCGAGAAGTTCGTTACTATCTCTCACTGTCTGAGATGCTCGGTATTCCAGACTCTCACCTGGATTTACCTTCTTTCGCGAGAATCTGACGGTTCTAAATGTGGCTCAGCGTAGTTGCTGAACTTGCTACAAGTGGACTACAAGTGAGAGCAAAAGACTGGTCGTTTGAAGCGTGAAAAAACGCCTCTCGAAATTTATGTATGAACGATGTACACGTGTCTAAATGTCTATTCTGTAATGATATTTAACTGCCTCTTTTATCTCGCGCCTATTTATTATCAAATGGGCAATCACAAATGCCTTTGAAATTAGAATTGTAAAAAAAGTAATAGTTTCGTTTAAACTTCCGCGATAATGAAACAATAAAATCATTCCAACGTATATTTCTGAAGTTAGAAAGACAGAAGAGGTGGCACGTCCAGAAATATCCATCGAAGAGCGATATAAATCAAGAATTTATCGTGTCAGTAAAATCTCGCATTCGACGTGCGTGTCATAAACTATGAACCTATTTGAGCCAGCTACGCATGGAACATTGTTCTAATCTTATCTCCTTCCGTACAGCGTTACGTACGAAATACGAACCGAATCGTTACGATATTCCATGCTGCTATCTATAAAACAATCTTCATACTGCGAAGCAAAGTACGCATAGTGAAGGGCTCAGTTCGCATAGTAATTGCGCGCGTTTGATCGCGAAAGCATGCGAAGGTTTTTACTACCCTTTATATCTGAAAAATTCAAGCATGCCACTATAAAAGTCGCGCGATATCAATTTTTTCTTCTTTTACTGCACTCGAACACATATAGAACGCAACTCAGTTAAAGATCACGCGGATAAATCTCGATTTGCCTCACAAGAACAGTTACGCATAAACTCGAAATTTCTGTTTCTACATGAAATACTAAAAAAGTTGTTAGATATGGAATGTCGCTTGTGTCTTTTGCTTTTTGATCCCAAGTTGTGTCGTATAGGCGTATCCTACTTTCGCATATTTTTTTCTTTAGTTCATTTAACTGGAAAATTCATTTACGCGTATATTCAAAAGCATTGTAGACTTGTTTCTCCAAAACCCTAACACACACTGAGACAGCTCTTCAGATAATATTCGCGTCTGTCGGAAACGTTTGATAATAACCGGATTTCCATTGCTCGCCGAATAAGCGACTTATAATATACACAGTACGTTCACACTAATACCTACGCGATCTTGCGAGGAGAAAATCTTTAGCTAAACTAGAATTCTACCTGAAGAGCGGATATACGCACGTTTCGTGCAGGCAAAGCCGATTGAGAACGTTCTCCGGCAACGAGTGAGCGTATTCGACCATCGCGATCGAATACAAGATCCGAGATGCTCCTCCACGTTAACGTTAGTTCCACGAGGACACTTTTGCGGATTAGTCTCGCTGCTATTTGACTCGCGGCAACGAATTATCCGCTGGCGAAACTCTCGACTCGCGTCGTGGTCCCGACGATCGAAATTAGAAGTCGCGCCTCGCAAAAAAGATCCCGCGCTCGCTGAGAACGCGAGGAAAACTTCCGGTCCAGATAAGTAACAACGACGAGCCGCCTCCGGACGAGGGATTTCTTTTCCATCCCTCTCGCAAGGACCCCGCCACCAAGCACGGCGATTTCTTTCGAGACAACTTCTTGTCGCAATTACTATGTAACGATCGCGGCAAGCGGCGTTCACCGTTGCTTGAATCGGGAGACTCGCGAACGCGGTCGACTTGCATCCTGAGTTCCCGTTTGCCTTTATTATTCTTATCCGGCGCGCATTTACTTCCGCGTTTTTGTTCGTCGCTGCCCCATGGTAGTCTAAAAACGCCCGACTCTTTTCATCCCTGGTTCGTTGCGCTTATTTTGCGAAAATTCGTCGCGATACAACTACTCATTGTCAGTTGATTTTTAGTTCTGTAAGAATAAATTTTTACGCCAAATCCGCACATTTGAAATTCTCATCGTTAAAAACAAGTAAATACATAGCGAGCTTTTAGACATAGAAATAAAAATTTGTAATTACTGGTTTAGATGATCCTAAAAATTCTCAAATCAATTTCTTTTATAGAATAATGCAAAGTTATCTGGTATTGCAATATTAATTCAAGCCTTTGTACTTGTGGAACGTTACGGAAGTTTTTCGTAAAAATTTGTAAAGAAATAGAATGTAAGGGAAATTTGCGTGTAATCGAATCGCACAAAAATTGCATTCGCATCTAATAATAATTGGTAACATTACAAAGTCTTCCCTCGGCATTGCGTCACTAATCGAACTGCGATTTGAATCGCAGCACTTCTGCAGTTGTCAGTCTTCATGCAGCTATTATTTCCTTTTATGTGCAGGGTTTGAAAGCATTGGCAATTGTGCGAGCGAACATTGCAGACAGTCGCTCGCCATTGCTCGACAAATCGAAAGATCTCAATCGCGACCTACATCTATACAGAAATTTTACTTCGCTTGTTAAGCTTTATTCCCTACTTCTGTTCACGTTAGATTTATTGTGAAAAGTAAAGAGAAATCTAAGATAAATATATCCGTAATGTTTGGATAATTTATAATAATCACCCCGACATCAAGAGATTGCTCCTTTGTCGATAAATCAACCAAGTTATGTAGATAGTAATCGAGCCCAGCAATTTGTATCCCCAATTTATCATATCTCCTTCCTCTACACTCCTCCGCCGCACATCTCGCAAGCCTTCAAAGCAAATTTGACGTAAGCCGCAAGATAATTTAACGAAAGTTGATTTATATACTACGAAATAACGTATACCTGATACATTTATTATACAAGATCCTGCCATTTTACTTTTTGAAATCACTTTCGCATTGCTATATAGATTACTCAACTTCCAAATCGCTTATCTGACTTAAATTTTGCTTTATGAATTAGTAATTATTTCTCTTTCAAATTATATTTTAGCACCTTGGTTTCTATGAATGTATATTCTATCTGATTTCCATAATAAGTAGCTGAAATAGTAAGACCAAATTTGCAAGTATATGGGATTTATAACCGTTTCCGCTTTCGCAAAATTGAAACGAAACATTTTTACATTTCATTCGGTGGAGAAAATTTCAAAGGTGCATATAACAAAAATTTATTCTTTATGTAATTTAAAACTTTGCTTCAATCTGAAGCTCAGTTGTTGATACACTTGAGTACTTTTCAACGCAAATTTAAAACTAAAAATATATATGCGTTGCGTATTTTCTATTCCTAAAGTTCCATTCGCTTGCAAATGTAGCATACTAATACAGTTGCTTTTATAAATGGTCTCCTCACGTATATTCGAATCAAGTTTTTTCCACATGTCAAAGACGCTCGATAAACCCGTACTCGAAGCCTACGCTTTCCAAAGGGTAGCAAAAAAAGATATTTATTCCCTAACGGAAACTAATAATCTCCCTTTCTAGCGAAGGATTACGGATGTCAGACGGAATGAGCAATCGCGCGTCGCGGTCCGCTTCGGGGAGGATTCCTGGACTTGGGCTATCTGACCGAGACCATCAGGGACCACAGGGCAGTTCGCGCGGAACGCGCATTGTCCGAGCGTGTTCGGCAAGCATATGCGCGAGTACGCGAGGGACCGACGCGACGGTACCACTGTCCGTAGTGATTTACGAAGCACGCGACTCGTGCCAGCAAACCCGCGCGTTACGCTCTCACCCTCGCGCGGATACGTGAGCACGGGTACAGCGACGATCGTATCCGGTTCGCACTGGCCACACCGTCCGCTATAATTCACGTCGCCTGCTGGAAACGCCACCGGGATCTTCATCGGCGGAAGAGCCCCGGTGGCGGGTCCCGATTGTTAGCTCTTTCGGATACCGTCGAGACATTCCGCGCTGCATGCTCGACGATCTTTGCTGAACAAGCAGGTCGAAAATGTCATACTCGAATTGAAATACACAGAATTGCAATTTATTTTGTTACGTATATTTTTAAGAGAGGTTGAACTTTCTCAAATAAAAATATTGATCTTTCTATAAAGATAGTTTAGACAGCTGAGATAATATAGAGGTATTAACGTATATCGCAATTTATTGTAAGATTTCAAAACTAACAATAAATCGTATTGCACTTTTATCACGAATAAACACATAAAACAAACGAACAAATTGAAAATGTCAAATTAGAATAAAAATATATTCTATTATATACATAAATCTGAAAAGATTTTTAAAATAAACATATCAATCTTTTCACAAAAATGATCTAGGTAATGTAAATTCTCAATGATCTGATAGTGATATAAAAAGTAAATTATACTACGCTTTGTTTCATGGTAAAGCAAATACTTCTGAATAAAACATGTAAAAATAAATGAGATCAACGAATAACGAATTTTTTCCAAAAAGCCCGGCAGCATTATCATTACCATTTTTTCACGATAGATTCATTTCTAACATTATATTTCGACGTCAAAGAAAAATGCATGTTGCCCGTCTCTCTTCGGATTTAAGGATTTAATGCGACTGTCGTATATTTTTAATATTTTAATGAAATTTCAGTCCGAAACGTAATTTTTTTACCCTTTGAGATCATCAGTCGCCTGTCGGAGCGCATCAAAATTCAATTAATCGATCAAACGTGCGTGTATACGTGCCCGCGGGCTCGAGCGACAGATAAAATAAACGCGGCGCAGAGGAAGCTGTGGAGAGGTTTCCGGGTTAATTAGCCTGTCAATGCGGCCCGCTAGTCCCGCACGGGACAATATGCGGGGGAAAAAAAAGAAAAAAAAGCAGGACGGTTGATTCGACAGCGATCGCGTCCCTTTCGAATGGCGTGATATATCGTACTGTCTGCTACTGTCGTGCCACGCATCTAGATATCTGCATCTTGTTCGTTGTTTCGCGTTTACGTCACACGCATGCATTCGCAAATACCCGAGTGCGTCAAGTCTACGTGACACCGCGGAATTTTTCCAATATTTCAGTTAGCGCGAAAACGCGATATTAGCATGTCGCGATTCGCTGCAAGTTCCTGAATGAAAAAAAGTCTCGCGGTATTTAATCGCTTATTCATCGGTGCCGACTATATAAAATTTTTGGAAATCCAGCGTTTTCCGAAACGATTTGAATAGACTTACACACAAATTTTTGTCAACTTGGAAAACTGACTTAATTTAAAAAATTCTACTGTTTTTTGTTTCGGCATCGCGTTAAGTAAAAGTAACATTTATAATAATTAATTCACAATAGATTCTTGTAATCTCTTCTTAATAATAAAAGAACTGATTAAATTGTGACGTGTAATTAATAAAAAAAAAATATTAAATCAATGTAGATATTGCAGTATTAGTTAGATTTATGTCCGTTTAAATAATTAATAAAGAAACTTCACGAAGTATGTTTCGCCTCTTTTATTTTAACCGTGGATTTGACTAAATCGCATTTTGTTTGTTATTTTTGTTCGTGTAAATCCATTCCCACAATTATGTGACATTTATATTGTAAAGATTTGGATTCTCTGAAATGAGTCGCTTAGAGACATTTACACCTGAAACCAGCACGGCTCGCGGTTTATTTTTTTCACTAACCCGATTTCATCGTCGTCCTGGCTAATAAAACCGTGTAGCAGAAACCACGATCATACGGATATCTTGTCAACAAGATTCGTTCTCTTTCGCAACGCGGCATTTTCCTAGATACGTATTATTGCCGTTGCAGTGATTCCATTGAGAGTTAATCAAGCGATCTAGAGCTTGCAATATGTGTTTACCATCAGGTACATTATTAATTTATTAAAGTTAAAAAAACGTATCTTCAAGATATAACAGCATCGTTGTAAAGAAAATTTCAGCGAATCATTCATTAAGTTAAAATCTCGACACGAATTAATGAATAGAAAAAAGTGTCAATAAATGTTTTATATAGTAAAATCGGATTAAAAGTTAAATTAAAAATCTACTGAGATAATAAAGGAACAGTAAAACTTATTATTAAAAATATACCGAGTTCTAGAACAAAGCATGGGTCGCAAGAATATGTTCATTGAGCTGTCAACTGAAAGTTGTCAACAATCGTCAATTGTATTTCGTTTACTGGATTAATACAACGGTATTATTGTTCAAACAATTCTAGTATATCTGGTGCATAATACGCACCGTATATAAGGTGTGCTATAAAGTATAACCAATACGGTCTCGGCATCCTCAGTTCATCGTACCGAGCCATCCCCGACGTCGTTAAGTCAATACTCGATCCTACAGCTCTATAGGGTAGTAATTAACAACTCCTATAGTTCGATTAAGTGTATAACCGATATACACCTATAAAGATATTTTAATCGCTCCAGTAACGAAGTAAGTAACGAGGTAATTGATATCTGATAACGTAAATAAATTCTAGCGAATCATACGTGATATACGATATATTCGTGTAGGAATATCAGATTAGGTCAATTTTTGGTATTGGTAAAAAAGAATTGAATATCATCATTATACGATTTGATTTGTTTATCTAAAATTAGTAAGTAATTAGTAACTCTTCTAGCAATCCATGTCCGACATAAGAATTTTTCGTAATTGCTAGAATACATATATCAGATTGACATTAGAAAATGTATCAACCGCTTTCAATACACAATTATTGCTGCATTTTCAATTGTAAGTGAAAGTAATAAAGTTCAAACATTACACGAGAACTCATCAAATTTCATCGGTGACGATGTACAAGAAGAGAAAAGCAATCTTCTAACGATACGATATGATAATGAAGCAATGGGCGAAGCAATTAATGACTGTTGAGAAATTAATGACAAAATTAATATAGAACAGCGTCGAAATTCGAGAAAATGTCGGACGGGAACTCGCTCAGGGTTCATCGAAAGTTAACTACGGATCAGAACAGTCCCCGACGGGTTCGCGGTCGACGTCATAAACGTGCAACATGATGATTAAGACATGTGGGCGAAGTCGTTATCCACGCTACAGGCAGCTTGCACAGAGGGTCGGCGAGCGCGTTTCTCACCGCTCATCTCGATACGATGCGCTTTAATGATGTTGCGAGCTCTCAGCGAGGGTGAGCGAGGGTGAGCGAGGGGTGACCACGGCTGTTGACCCATTTCGGACTTTGCGCACGGCCGCAACGAAGTTGCGGCCACCGGCGCGTCGCCGTCCGATGCAGCAACTTCGCGTATTATCGCAATAAGAACTTCGTTGGCTCCTGTCGTTCCCGTAATCCATCCGTTCCATTCGTGCATACGAACGTGGGAAACACGATCGAATTTCACGACCGGATGTCCGAACGGAAGGGGAGAGACGGAGGTTCTCAAACTTTACCTCACCTTAAAATTGGAAAACGCAATTCTGCCGGTCATAAAGGCCATTCGAGTCAAAGATTTCATGTAGAAATCTGCGAGTTCGCAAATAAAAATTGAGAACGAATCTTCGGAGTCGCGTTTGGGAATTTTAATAGTTGGCGAGATTTCCTGATCGCAAAAGAAGTAAAAAGATGGACTGAGAACGTTGATTCATTCATATATTTCGACGTGTATTATAACAAATGGCGTTTGTATTAAATAAAAAATGGATTCAAGATGTTTCAGAGATCTCTTTCTCTCTTTCGACGTCTATTATCAGGCAGATCTCCCTTAATGCTGTACCTTGCTTCAAGAGGAATCAATTATCCAAGTCTGAGAGCTTGTCCCTTGATTGCGTAACAAGCGATAATAGCCTCAATATTGATATTCATCGCGAGTACTCCGGACTCCATAACAACGCGCAATTAATGCCCGATTAATTAGGCATTAATTAAATTAACGATTAAATATATATATATAATAGAACGTACAATATCTCTAATAGAACCGACTGGGTTCGAATCAAAACGTGCTATGCGTATACATATTTCTCATTAGGTTAAAAAAAATCTCTTCCATCGTTTATAACGAGGCGAACGAAACTGACTTACAATTGCAGAGCCAGTCTTGGAGATCATCTCGATGGAATAAAATAAGCTACACCATCATCCGCTTCGTACGAAATATCGCAACATATCTTTTCGTTTAGTTTAATCCAATACGTCAATTTTCGATTGTCATTGTGGAAACGACAAGCAAATTTCGTATTCTTGCGACTTTGAGAATCGATATGTGATACAGAGCGAAAAATCTCATAGTTCGTTCGTTCAATTTTATTTCCTTCTCAGACGTCTCTTTTTGGTGCTCAAGAACCGACCCTGCTCGAAAGCTCGTCTTTTGTGAAATAGGAACTTGCGAAGGAGGTTGGTTCGCGGATGCCGTTGATCGAGCGATACCTCTTCGATGAGGTTGGTGTCGCGTGCGTGGCTCTCATACGCGCAACAGCGTGTCATTGTCATTGATGTCGAGCAACGGTCGATGATTGCCGCTGGCGTTGCCGGGTGCGTTATTACGATGATCCGAATAGCGGCCGAGGTCCTGAAGAATCCTGTAGGAGGGGCGTCGTAGTAGTTGTTATCGCCTGGAGGAACGGAAGTCGGCACTAGGCTATGCGAGGGTGACAACCCCTTCCGGTTCCGGCGACCAGCAATTGTCGGATAGCCAGCAACCGATCACCACGGTGAAGAACCCGATCAAAAGAGCCACGATGATGTAGATCTCCGCCTGTCCCAGTGAATCTGCTTACATACAGAACACGAAACGTGCTCGTAAAACGCACTCGACACGTACCACGTGCTTCAAACGTGCGTGCGGTCAAGGAGATAATTAAGCATCTTTGCTCAACGGCTGCAGGGCTGAAAGGTCGCATGCATTGTGGAAGGATCACCAGTGCGCACGTCGCTTAGGTGCTAATGCATGCTTGTTGCTTCAACCCCTTCAGGTATAATTTGTTATCTCGAGTATGCGTATACGGTACGATTGAATTAATTACGTCAGACGTATGTACACATCGCTCGGGGAAATGCACGATGGAGTTTGCAAAATCACAGCAAAATCAAATAAACCCAGTAAAAAATGTAGTTACGTGGAAAAAAATCACATAGAAAGCCGAAAATCGCTTTTATATATAACTGTTCGACGTAAATGTTTTTCGTTTATTGTAATGGGCCCAGGAGAGATGCGAGCAAGTTAGTTAAT